AGAGCAAATGACATTACTACAAGACTAAAACAGACCAGTATATACCGGCAGTATCCTACTATAGTGTCCATGGTTCCACCATGGAGGAAATTGTGAAGGACTGTGGTGGCACTTGAAACAACTTGTTAAACTATCCACTCGACTATATTTCCCTCATCCAATACTAAATGCACAACTATTCAAAACGTTACGATTTCACTCAAAGACTAATGAAAACACTTTTGATAGGCAAAATAGAAACTAAGTTACATGAACTAAAATAACAACAAAATATAACAACAACAAAAACATCTAAAAGTAGAAAAAATAAGAAAACTAATATATAAGAAGTACATTGTACATTGGAAAAATATTAAGGCCACACTGATTTAATTTTATCGATGACATCCTCTGGAGACCCCAAAACTAATGCGAGAGGGCGAAAAAAAAAATCTTGCCAAAAAAAAAAATGCTGCTAAAACCACAGGACTACGAAGCTGGTATTACGAATTGAGGCACAGAACACAGTGTATCAAAAAAACAACAAGAAGTCTTTATTTGTAGGAGGCACATGTTGATGTACACATCTCGTACTGTATTACTGTCACAGGTATAACGATTTCAGACAAGCTCTAGTACATGAAGTCATGATGGAGTACCTTCAGTCTGAAACACTGCATTCAAGGTACAGCATGAACACCATTTTCAGTACAAGTCAAGGCGGAATGTACATATCACTACTTTATGACAAAATTGGCACATATTGAGGTAGTCCAAAACGAGTTTTACGACAAGCCGGCGCTTTGCGACAATATGAGTCGGCAAGTTCCGGACAGAAAATCGATCTGTCGTTGTTTTTTTTAGAACAGGCGAAAACTAATGCGCGCGTGGATGTCATCCATAAGTGTGGCCTAAATATTAAATATTATTTGTATACTTCTTCCCACTCTCCATGGCATCAATTAGGAAATTTTTTGTAAGAATATCAATTTCGTCACACAAGAATGAATTATACTGCCTTGTGCTGTCACCCAGGATTAAACGTAGCACTTCTTTGTTTGCTATGAAGTCTTTATGTAAATTTTTTAGTTTTTGTTGCATAGGAGCATTTTAATCCTATCCATTAAGGGTTTTTCTCTGTGCTGAGAAACATTTACAATGTAATATGAAATGCTCAAGTGTTTCAGGTTCCTTTTTGCAACATGGACAGATACAATCATTGTTATCCAAGTTTGCCCATTTCCTTTTCTCATATATGCCAAACCAAGAGTGAATTTTAATTGGGTGCCCTTGAAGTTGGATACAGAATTTTAATATTTTTCAAATTGTTTTAAATTTTCTTTAATGGTCGAGACTTAGTTCTTTCTATCTTCAATGCTTTTAGCCATGGCCAGGTCTTATTCAGATTATTCTGCAGTTAGTTCATTAAAAATAACTTTTGACCATCTGGTTTATTCCATTAAACATAACCTCTTGTAATAATTCAGTTTTAATAAACTGACTCTACTTTTCATAGCTATCCACCCCAGGTCCCCTCGAACGGCCTGTTTGCTGTGTATCGTCATGCTCCTAGAATAAACTTTCCTACTGTACGTTGCATTCTTTCCCATGTCTGTTGAACTAAATATTAGTAACTCACAGGCATACTCTAAGGCAGGTCTAACAGCGTAGTTCCACAGGGGTACACCATAATCTGCTCTATTCACATTGCCATGGTTACCAAGAATTGATTTCATAATAAGGAATAACTTTTTAAACTTTTCAGACATTTTTGTAAATTGTGTATGATCTGACAAGTTACATGTAATCCAATAACTCAAATATTTATACTCAAAAGCTTCTTTTATCTTTGAGTTCCCAATCTGCCAGTCTTTGTTTTTGTTAAATTTCTTGTTAATGATCAACACGTTTGATTTTTCCTCATTACCGGTAATTGTCATCTTCCATAGTTTTCAGAAATGGTTTGTGACATTTAACATGGATTTGAGTTGGTCCTCATTTTTGGGTACAATAAGCACAAGATCATTAGCAAAGAACAAGCCATTTATACAAGTTTCATCTAATTTAACACCACGTAGTGAATCATCTAACAGTTTTTTGAATTCATTTATGTAAATTGAGAATAGCATTGGGTCTAAAATACATCCTTGTTTTAAATCCTCATTCTGTGTAAAATATCGCCAAATTATACTTTACTTTCAATATGGTTATATGTATTTTTTATTATACGCCATCATTTGCCCTTTACACCATTCTGCCATAAAGCATACCATAAACCTTCTCTCCAAATGCTGTTTTGAGCAACCAATTTAGCCTTACCCGTTGGCGTGAGTGGCGCCCTCTGCCAACGGTTCTAATATCACCGTGTCAGGCTACAGTGATTTTGCGTACTGGACTGCATGAATTACAATACTGGATTTCTGAGGTCTATGATTTTACTGAGTACAATCTTGCAATCTCAACTTATTCATCACACTTGGCCATGGGGGATTAGTTTGCCTCGCCCAGATCCCAGTTCACTCATGGAAGGTACAAGGACTAGTACATTTGTACCTTCCATGGCTCATTGTTATTGTTTAATTATCACACTTATCATGCTTATCATTTTTGCATTGTCCCAAAAACTCTATGTACAATATTTCGGTGGACAAGCTGAAACTTGGCTAAATGTTACGCAAATTAGGAAATTATTATTCAAGAATTTCAACCTTAGATATTATCCAGCGTTATTCTTGCTCATATACATAGTATATCGGTAGTTTGATTAAATAGTATAGGCCATTGCACTTTCACTTCATGTTACAAGCATGCACATGATTTGATAGCGGCATTGTTTGCTGCTGTTAGTATTATAAAATATACATTTGTCCCTGCTAATAACACCATTTATGGGCACATTTTTTATCACAACCTGCATGGTTACCAGAATGTAAACAAAAATGTCATAGTGCAACGGACTATAGATACACTAAAAAAGGCCCTCATTTATTGGGCATTTGTGACCAAACTACCTTTTTTGACAATTTTCATACAATCTTCATAATCTTTTGGACCTTCACTAATACAATACACTACACTTTAACCCAGGAAAAGCATTTAATAAAAGACAATGTTGCATACAAATAAACAAAATGAGTAGTATGAATGCCTACCACACATAATAATCCAAAGATTGATATTCACAGTATTACAGCAAAAATTACACAATTAGAAGAAAACCATTTTTTTCAGTATTTTCCAGTTGCAATAGGAACAAAGACGTATATTGTTTCTTTATTATATATTGTTTGTTTCATAGAACAAATACTCAGATGTGTGAAACAAGAACAGCTTCAATAGTTCATGATAAATAATAATTCAATCCATTCATCAATATGTGCTGTGTCAAACGGCAGTATTACAAAATATATTGTTTCCCATACACGTAAAACTACAAACATGAATGTGTGATATTTCTTGAATCAGTTTTTGTATTCATTATTACACTGAAATGCAAATTTTTGGAAATTATTAAGACACAATGTAGCAAACAAATATTGCATTATTGTACTGGTAACAATTTTCATTTTCCATGATTTTAATAACAAATTGATTAAATAAAAAATGAAATACACAGACAAGGATATCCCACAATTCAATGGTGTAAACTATAGGTCTGTTTTTATCGCTGACATCTACTTGAAAATAGTTATATTTGAATTTTATTTTATTTCAGTCAATTACATGATTGCTCTAGGTGACAGTGTTTTTTTATACTTGATGTGAATGACATAACCCTCCCATAAACCATGATTTATCACATTGCATTGCTGAAAGCCTCCATGGTCAGCCATTTTGGATTGAAAAAAAAAAACTGTGTCAGCAGGCAATGTATTATACATGCTATATTATTGTAGTGTCTTCATAGTAAAACACTGCACCAATAATATGTCAATTGATTACATGAGTAATGATGTTTATGCATAATACTCACTATCAACGGCTTATATTCAACAACATTTGTACAAAATGACTGCACATTTTCAGGTGTTTACATGCTATAAGTCAAATGCTTACCTGCAAACACTTGAAGAATTAATTATGTTTGTCATTTCATAATACACCATGAACAAGGACAGAATACCATGTGATACACAAATTGTTTAATGGATCAGCGTTTCATTTACAGGTTTTCTGCAGCAATGAAAAGAGCCCATTTAGAATCTAGATTGAATAACAATTTGAATGAATGGATACAAACTAATGATGTACAATTGTTTTGCTTGGCAATAGTGAGTATAAAATGTCTGTACTAATATATCAAACAAATTTTGCTGGGAAAAATACTGGCTAAAAGTCATCATTAATTAATATTTAAGTTCCTTAAATGATACTACATGTGTTGAATTAATCCCAATGTCCCTTATATATTATAATATATAACATGAAGTGTATGAAAGTTCCCATAAAAAAAAATAGTACAGCAAAATATCTAAGTAAAATTTGGTGAGAAAAATACTTACCAACATGGTCGTCCAATAATACTACCTGTACTGTATTAATCCCAATGTTCTTTATAGAATAATAGAGCAAGAATTTTATAAAAGTTCCTGAATAATTGTACCATAGTATATATAAGCAAAATCTGTCAAGTTTTTTTTATTTATATTACAATATGAAAACAATATATCGGTTTACAACACTTGTTTTCACTTATTTATCTGTCTAACAAATGCTTTATTTCAACAAAGTTTTACCCTGTACCGTATCTTGAAAGTTGTACTTGCTAATCACACTAAAATTGAACCTGGTTGACATTTCATAGTGATTGATCAAATTTTCACAATTTTGATGATGATCTGATAAAAAATTTTTAGGTTATGTAAACGACAAAAACGTTTTGCAACAGAGTCAATGACAACGATAACAACAACAGAAGACAGACATTTCGCCTTATATGACCTTCATTTAGATGATACAAGGTAATCACTTGATATCTTGAGATAAATAATTTGACCTTAATCTTACAGAATAGAATGTGCATGATTGGTGAATAATTAATTATTAATTAATTACTTTTGTCTACTTTTCCAGCAGATATATGATACATTTTAAAGCTCTTGAATGACATTTTCACAGAATACTACTGATATATTATGAATAAAAGACATTTGAAAACAGGCTTTTATTGCTATTTTCATCTGCTCTTTGGTCAGTGCTACCAGTTTGTCATTTGCTACTACCAATGGTGAAATGTATATCCTGTAAAAGAAAATAAATACCTGTAGTTGTGTTGTAATTTTTATCGTAATGGCTTGGGCTTATAAGCCACAAGATATGTTACTGAGTGTGTACTTAAAAATAATTTGCTGAATATGTTTAAACATGACAGTCCATCAGTCATCTTGCTGATTTTTTTTTTCGCCGTTGCAGTATATACTTATGTGTTACTTAGTAATATCACCGGGTAAAAGTGAACAGCCGTTAAACAAAAGTATTCGAAAACGTAAGTAAATTAGTAAAGCATCGGATACACTCAAAATGGTGCCCCACGCAAATGTATTAAATATTTCAACAAATACATAATTGAAATTTACTAATTATTGAACAAAAAGTTTAAACTTGCCAAATTACACCTTTAAATAAACTGTTCTTGTTCCCATTCAAGAGGATGCCATATGTTTCATGGGCTGGGCAGTCAAATTTTTAGACTATGAACAAATGTGTAATTTCTAGCATCGTCAAATTTTTGGCAATCAAAATATAATAAGATTTTACAGTCATTAATTTATACTGCAAAATCAAGTACGAATATTATCCTACAATTGATTGGAGATGAACACTTGACAGACCACAACCATTCTGCATCTTTGTTCACCATGGATACCTACCTTCCTTCTCATATAACAGAGGAAATTTGTCCAGATGTATGCTACTATCCCAACATAAGCAACACGAAATTGCGGTGATACAAATTTGAAGTTAACTAACTGAAAAACAAAAATAGATGACAAAAGTTGATTTATTTGTTTTGATAACAAGTTGCAAAGGTACAATTATGTTGAATGGAATCAAAATTAAAAAGTTTATACAAAACGTTATTAGGATTTATGTCTATTATTCGAAGATGGAGGAATACGGCTATACTGCCATCACCGTGACCAACTGCACGAACCTGTGCTGGTGGCCAGAATGCCAGACCAGCCAACCAAGATGGCAGAGTTTTCTGTTTTGCATCATGAAGTATATCTTCTTTTCTTTCCAAGATGTCCATTACTATAAAAAAAGGAATCCGTTATTTATGAATCAGGTCAGAGCTCAGCTAGTGTGATTAAAATATATTACAAGTTAAGAATATATACATTTATAGTGGATTCTGTAGTAAAGGCGAACCACTCAATCCCATGGATTGCCACAAAGAATCATGGGACACTATTGTTTATGTTGTTTACAAAGTTAATCTATCTTTTGTTATCCATTGTTATTTTAATTCGGAAAGTAAATTTGTTGTGGGATTAGGTTTAATTGGAAGTGCCCCTTTAAATTTTTCCTGTGCACTTAAATATAAAAATATAAATCAGATACAAGTTTTGTATGAATTTATAACATATTTATTAAAAAAAAAATTTCCTCCTGAAGGCCCTTACACAAATTCAAATCCAAAGAAGTCGACGGCATCTGGTCTATAGTAATATGGGTCATTGACGAAGTGTAATCAAGGATTAAAATGTAAATAAATTCAAGAGTTGTAAATAGAAAACGTAAACACTTAAGAAAGGAAAAGAAAAAAGTAAAAGAAAAAAAAAAAAGAATTTTAAATAATTCACTCGAGTTATTCCAACTCCCTGTGGACCAGGCTGCGTTTTTGACAATTAGAATGGTACGTGCGTTTACATAGTGAATGGAACCTGATCAGCGATCGTCAAAATAGAACTGGTAGCCGCGAAACCATGGCTACAAATTGTCGTAGTTGAATACTCACCAACAAAGAAGCCGCCTGCTATGATCGGTGCTGCAAATAGCTGGTCAAATACTACTTTTGTCACCGCCGTTCTTCCTGCATTCCCAGGCATAATTTTGTCCAAAAACCGAAACCACGTATAATTGAATGGACCATTGCAGAAAAATCCAAACACAGCAAAACGTCCGATCTTAGCCCAGTCGTATTTTTCATATCCAAGTATGGTTTCCTGTGTAAACTCGGACGCAGAAAAAATGCTCCCTATAAACACGGAATTTCGTAACAGTTTATTTTTCCCTATCGTCCTCAGTATCATGACAACTTTCGACATGTTCGGCGTTACATGTATGCAGCTCTAAAATGATAGTTCCCGGGGATCGGCGAGCAAACAAAACAAAATAGGTCAACACGTGTGACGCTGAACATGCACTGATCAGCTGTTTGAGGTCAAAGGTTAAAAGTTCAATTATAGATCCAAGTCAATCTATGACCTTTATGTGTCAAATTGTCAACAATTTGTATTTGTGACGGTATTATTCTTGAACGTGACAGAATATACAAAATTAAGCCTGAGTGTCCATTCTCACAGAAGTGGACAATATGTAGAAAAGTACCCCCAGTAAATATAATTTGTCTATTACACTCAATGTTTTGAATCACAGTCCCACTATGATAGAGGACTATGTTTGAACGCACCGTCCATATTCGTCCAGGCGTTTTAGTCCCTGTGAGGCGACGGCCGAATAAATCACGGTTACCTTTTTAGTAACCGTGAATAAATGAACCTTAGCTGGCAGTCGACAGTCGACGATGAAAAACATTTCTTATTAGATTACGCCCTCTATTGTCGGAAAGGATATATTTTTTCTAGTCTTGATACAAAATTATAATTTCTCATATGTTCTACAATTATGGTGACAATGGTATTTATAGGCATGTCTGTGGTTACATACACATCTGCACGATGAAACGAAACAACCATAAGCATTTAGCTAACTGGGAGATGGTACTCACCAGAATTTTGGGTGGGAGTTCTCCGCACTCAGTTGAAAACTGGACCCAAAAAGATCGACGTTGTGGGCGTTTGGCTCAATAATTTTTAAATTGGGGGGGGGAGTAAATCAATTGGCTCGACCATGAAATTGAGGCGCAAAACTCACGACTCTTGATACACCCCCACAAAACTGTAACACAACACATAACAGTTCAGCGCTAACTTCACCACGCACCAAACTCATACTAAGAGGCACAGTCACTTGGGGCTGAAAATCAATAAATTCTCATTTA